ATCACTCTGAAGGCACATTTTTCTAATGGATCTTTTACTCAAGTTTTATGTTTCTGTTGTGAATTTAAGAGTTTTTTCTAGCCACATAGTGCTTCCAACTTCTATTTGTAATTAGGATGATTCTAATTATGTAGTGGTGGCACCAGGAATAATATTGCAATTGGCCTTCATTGATCAATAGAGCATCCACCTCTTAACTCACAAAATAATGCAAACTTTGATTAAATTAGAGAAAACCAATGAACACACTTTTATTGTAAGGAAGCACCCTTTACTGGCTTCAGAATATGCATAGAAGTATGTGTGTGTATGTGTGTATTTATGTGTATGTGTTTGTGTGTAGGTATGTATGCATGTGGCTTTTGGAGCACAAATTTAATTTTCTGTTGTGTATCATTGCAGAGATACCTATCTAACCTTCACAATAGTATGCTGTTCAAAGGGCATAATCAAAAGAAGCAGCACCTTTGGTTTCAGGCTAACACCTTAAGGTATGGCATCACCCTTAAAAGTTGGGCAAGAGGGGTCCCTGTAAAGGGCCCTGTGCTTTATTGGGCCATGCAGATGACAAACACCAAAATAAAACTTACTTAAGAGCTTATGGATAGCTCTCTCACTTAGAATCTGGTGCTTAGCGCTGGTATATTGTAACCCATTTCCCAAATATTAGCTCACATAAGTACCACCATTCAGGCCCCAGGGGAATACTTTTTCATATCTCTTGCCCTATATTCTCAGAATAAAGACAACTGTATCTGAATACTTGAAGTTCTGTGGGTTTGCCCATTCATATCATGAATACAGGGAAGATTTGAATAGCAGAAGCTTTAGATAAAGAGAGAAGGCAAAATTATCATCTTGTTGAATCTCTCCTCTTAGGTAGCATGACTGTAATAGATTTTGCTTAACAATGTGTTATTCTAGCACTGCCCAGCCTCCAATAGGAAATGTTTCTCTTTGTGTTTCAATATGTAGTTCCAGAGGTTTTCATGAATCAGCATGATAAACATAAGAGCTGTACATAGACGTTGAACAATATTAGGGGGTATTAATCAAAATTATTTAAGATGGGTTTTAAAAAAATTATTTCTGGTGTAGTTAACATACAGTGTTATATTAGTTTCAGGTGTACGATATAGTGATTCAACAGTTCCATATATTATTCAGTGCTCATCAAGGTAAGTGTACTCTTAATAATGGTGGAATTTTTAATTTAATTTTTTGAAAGTATAATTAATTCTTGTTAATATTTTAAAAATAAACATGGTTATTTGCAATTGTAGTATTCAGTGTCCACCTATTTGCCAATGTAAAGAATCAGTCTCACAATTCACATGTTTATGTCTAGACCTGTCTGTAAAAATTGGCAGATGAAAGTTTGAATGTCTTTAGGCTCTAATTTTGGGACTCTTGAAGTTAGAATTGACTAGGGAAAAATGTGGGTAAGATGATTACGAGACATTACCTAGATAAAGAGTTAATTAGACGGTTAAATAATAATCGGCAAGTGTATGTATATTGGTTTTCTATTGCTGCTATAACTATCACAGACAAAGCAGGTTAAAACAACTCAAATATATTCTCTTAGTTTCTATAGGTCAAAAGTCCAGGTACAACAGGGCTCAGTTGCTTCCCTGCTCAGCATTTCCCAAGGCCACAATTTAGGTGTTGGCACGGCATCACTCCTTTGTGGAGGCTCTGAGGGTGAATCTGCTTCCATGCTCATTCAGAGTGCTGGTGGAGTCAGTTCTGTGTAGTTGTAGGACTGAGGTCCCCATTTCTTTACTGGATGTTGGCCAGGGGTTCTGCACTTCTAGAGGCTGCTTATATTCCTTGGCTTGTGGCTCACTTCCTCCATCTTCAAAGCTGGCAATGGTAGACCTAGTGTTTCTCATCCTTTGAATCTCTTTGAACATTTCCTTCCTCATCTCTCCTGCCTTCTCCAATGGCAACTCTCTAATTCCTCTTCTGCTTTTAAGAGCCCATGTGATTATATTGGATCTACCTGGATAATAAAGATAATGTTCCTATCTTAAAGTCAGCTGATTAGCAAGCTTAATTACTAATTAATTACATCTGCCAAAGGTCTTCACAGCAGTCCCTCATGATAATCTTGATTTTTACTGTTTATACAGAACTTTACTATGATGCTTGTTTGCATTTATTAGTTTGGTTGAGTTCCACAACAACCCCATTAGGAGGTGGTGCCTCCATTTTTCAAGGAAGGAATCTATGCATAGAAGATGTTCAGTGGTTTGTCTTTGTGCTCCATTCTCACTGTCTGCTGATACTTCCCCTTTTTGCTTTATCAGTCTTGGTGCCATGGTTGCTTGGGGACAGAATTTGGCTTTTAGCTTTGATTCTTGGCAATCCTTACGCAGTGACTCAGCCACAATCTTTCAGTTTTTGACCATTTTGCATTAGTTCTCAGAAGGATCAGGCTTGGAAGTGTTTGTTTTTTTTTTTTTTTTTTTTTTTTTTTTTTCCTATTTAAGCTGGTGCCCCAGACTGCCTCAGGATATCACTGCATATCTTGCTCCTGGATGTAGTCTATTTCCCTCCTCTAGCCTATACATCTGGAAAGACTATGTGGTAGAATGGGGAGAACATGAGCCTCATAGTAAAGGAGGCTTTATTGTCATCTGAGTGTATGTTGTTGGGAAATCTGTATAACCTCTTTGAGTCTAAACTTTCTCAATCATAAAAATGGGAATAATTATACCTTCCATGTCAGAGTTGCTTAAGGATTAATAATATATGGATGTACCCGGCACAGTGTCTGACATATGTTAGCTGCTTGAAAAAATTATAGCTGCTTTTATCATAATTAAAAGTTATATCCCAGCTTTCTCTTTCTATTGTGAGTGCTTGGAGGGTCAGAATCATATTTTACTCATTTTTGCATCTAGATTTCCTAGCACACAGTGGGTTCTTAATAGATTCTTGAATTTAATTCAAAATAAACTTAAGACTGAAGTTCCTCTTAACTATTCCTATGTTATTTTATGGGGAAAATGCTTGGTGTAAGATAAATGTGACTAATGGCTACTGCCTTCTAGCTATTAATTGAAAAACAGAACTAGAAGTACATTATTTTTTCTTCTGCTCATTAACTTTATTTGTTTTCACTTGTGTAGGTTCATTCTCATTGACTCTGAGTTGTTCCCAGGTGTATGGTTGTATTTACTTTGTTCTCATACAAACAAAATATGTTCTCACAGTTTATTGCAGGGGGCTGCCATTTTTTGGTATTTTAATGTCTATAGTCTTTTTCATGGTTCTCAGATTTAGTTCTCAGTGTAGCATATTTGTGCCACAGGTAACTCCTGCTTGTCTTCCATTAACCTGTTAAGACCTCCCTAGCAGATATTCTTCTTAGTGCTTCTGTGCTGCCATGGATTGATGATTTGGGGAGTTTCTCTTTAAATGGAGTCCAGAGCATGCCCAGATGCTACAGAGTTTTGAATGATCTGTTCCTTCAGGTTTTTTTTTTTTTTTCTTCAAGAAAACATTGGAAAGAGAAAACATTTGTTTGCATATAGTATCTTCTACCAGACCTTTCCCAGGATAGGGCAGTGATGGGCTGTTAATATAGAGGCCGATATACAAAATCCAAACTTAACACCCTAGTTCAGTAAGAATTGTTAACTCTTATTGGGATTATGGCAATGGCCTTTCACCTGGACTACTTGTATTCGTTCTTGCCCATTTTTGCCCCTTTCCAAGTTGTTTTTTGTGCATGATTTAGGGTAATGTTTTTGAAATGCAAATTTCATTTTATATCCTCCTAGTCTGGAACACCTTTTAGACTTTAAGTAGTTCATTTGTTACTGTGTCTAGTGAGTTTGTTGGCATTTTACTAGTTAGGACAAATCTAGCACTTTATTTATTTTTAAATATTTATTTTTGAGAGAGAGAGAGAACACAAACAGGGCAGGGACAGAGAGAGAGGTAGACAAAGAATCTGAACCAGGCTCCAGGCTCTGAGCTGTCAGCACAGAGCCTGACCCTGGGCTTGAAATCACGATTGGTGACATCATGACCTGAGCTGAAGTTGGATGCTTAACCTACTGAACCACCCAGGCACCCCAAATCTAGCACTTTAAATGTCCTTAATCTAGCATTTAATGTTGATTCTCACTGATCATTGGAGTAGATCATAATAACATGAAACTTTGTACTTATTCCGGAGAAGTGAATTAGGCATGTACTTAGGCTGTAAATTTAGAGCCAGAGAGTCCTGGTTTTCAGTTCTCAGTTCTATCAACTGTCAAAGCCTGTGCCTTTGGCTTTTTAACTTTAGTTTTCATAGCCATAAAATAGGAATAGTAGAACCAGTCTCTCTCCTATGAGTATTAGATAGGTTGATAAACAGGATACTTATGGTATCCAGAATAGAGTTAGCTCAACATGGAAGGTAGTAAACTTGCTGTTATGGGAGAAGTTCCAGGGAAAGTTCTTGTAACCAAACATTTTTTCCTTATTAACTGTCTTTTGTATGTAATTCAAAATTTTCTATTATTCCTTTGTGATGAAATGTGAAAGGATCTGGTTCATTTAAGTGTTCTGTGAAAAGCAATGTGGTGCAACAGTGGGGTCATATGGTCTCTGGCTCAGGAAGACGTAAGATTTTATCACTGCACTGCAGCCTACTGGCTGCAGGGGCAAGTTAGTTTAACTTTCTGAAGTAGTATGTTCTATAGATATATAGTACTGCAACTAAAAATAAGCTAGAACAGCACCAAGTATGCTAATTCAGCCAACAAATATTTATTGAATGCCCACTCAATTTAACTTTGTTAAAGTGTAGGGATGGAGAGATAAAAAGCAAATCTTTGTCCTCAAGGAGCTCACAGTTTAAGCTTTCTGAGCTGAGATGGCATAGGATCTGCCAAATGCTGAAAATGGATCAGCCAACTTAGGTACATCCTCATTGGGGGTGGACAGCAGGTACTAACATTTGTTGTGGATTAGCTCTGAGTGCTCTTGTTTGGGACTAGCTGTGGATCCTGGCGGGTAGCTGTGGATCCCGACTGGCAGCATCCCTACGGAATGTTTTCTGTGGCAAGGGCTTCAGCTGGCACTCCCGCCTGGTGACCCACCAGGCCCACGCACACAGTCAAGAAGTCCTACGCCTGCACCGGCTGTGGCAAGAGCTTGGCGGCAGCTCGCACCATTTCCGGCACCAGATCATGCCCGCGGGCGAGAAGCCCTCCACCTGCCCCTCCTGCTGGAAGAGCTTCAGCCAGCACAACACCCTGATCCAGCACGAGGGCATCCACACGGGCCTGAAGTCCTATGTGTGCCATCGCTGTGCCAAGTGCTTCACCCGCCACTTGGACCTGGTCACCCACCAGGGCACCCCCACAGGGCGCCAAGCCCCATAAGCGCCCCATCTGTAGCCGGTGCTTCATGCAGAGCTCGGCCCTGGTCACCCACCGGTGCGCCCACACTGGGGTCAAGCCCTACATGTGCCCCGAGTGCGGCAAGTGCTTCAGCCAGCACTCCAACCTCGTCACCCACAATTGCACGTACACGGGCCACAAGCCCTACCACTACCTCGACTGTGGCAAGAGCTTCGGCCACAGCTCACACCTCACCGCCCACCAGCGCATCCACCACTGCGTCCAGCCCTCCTCCTGCCCTCTCGGTGGCAGGAGCTTCGGCCAGTGCTCTAACCTGCACCGGCATGAGAGGATCCACACCACGGGGCTCAAGGCCCTGGCCATGCTGATGCTGGGGGTGGTGGGGACTCTGGCGGCACCCCTGCCTGCTCCCACTTAGGCCGGGAGGAGGGCCCAGCTGTAGAGGAGACGTGAGGGCAGCATGAGGGGGGTGTGGGAAGGGAGTGGGAGGTGCTGGCATGGGGTGGGGCATGGCAACACAGAGGAGCTAGGGTGAGGTGCTGGCTACCAATTAAAGGCCTTGGAATTCAAAACAAACAAAACAAGTCCAAAAAGTGTGAACAAAACAGTGATTCTTGTCACCTGTAGTGACCTATTCAGTTACTATTCAAGGTCCTCAGAAGTTTCATGAACTATTATATTGGGGATACAAAAAGAGCAAAATCATTTCCTGAAGGAGACCAAAGCCCTGAGTCCAGGGCAGACTAGAAAATAGTCACAGAGCAATGCGAAGTATTTTATAATTGAGAATGTTCCAAGATGCTTTGGGAACAGACAGACTGGCCTAGATCCTAGCTTGGGATGAAATGGAAAGACTGCATAAGATGGTGATGGGTGGACAGAATCTTGAAGGTGCTCAACAGATATATTCAGATAACTGGCCATCCCTCAGCTTGTCTCTGATTATGAACTGATTTACTGAGATCAAACCTAGGGTGTCCTTGGGTAGGGCTATCCCTCTTTTTTATTTAAATTCCAATTAGTTAACATACAGTGTAATATTAGTTTCAGGTGTAGAATTTAGTGATTGAACACTTAACATTCAATACTGACTGCTTATCACAACATGAGCTATCTTGTTAGTATAGGATCCCATAACTTTGGGTACATGGAGTGTGAAAAAAGATTTTTGTTAGTATTTGTTAAATTTATACTTTTGCATAAATCTAAACATAGCATTGATGAATCAAGGTTTCCTCACTTTTTAAGTTATGAAGAGGCATTCTTCAGATAAATTCTGGTCTTTCTGTCTGGGGCATCTTGAGGATTTTCCGCTCTACCCAGGTGTCTTTGCTACTGTGGTGACTCAAACGATGCCAATCTCTAATTTAACCAAAGAACTTAATGCCCTTCAAGGTCCTGCTCCAGCAACCTCTCAAGACAATGGGGTGTTTGGGCCCCATCTCCTTTATAGGCCAACTTGCCCTATTTACTTTCATCATCTCGAGCACACAGGGGTTCAAGGCACACATATAAGTTTTCTTAGTAAAGAATGAGGCAGATCTCATAATGCATCACAGTGAAGGAGAATAAAGCTTGAAATTCCAGATAACATAGTCATTCATTCTATTGGATGTAAGCTTTGGTAAGCATATTCCCACTGGATATGCCTGAACTAACTCTAATCTTAGGGGATCTTTTTCTTATTAAGCCACTTTTCAAGTTTCTCAGGTTTGTAATCCCACCCTCCTCACTCAGAAAACTCTGCTTATCCTATACAGAGGATGAGGTGTAATACCTTAAATCTTGCAAATTTATATTTTATTGTAGCTTACAAATTTGAACAATATCATAAACTACAGCTGGATACAAAAAGAGATCCAGAAAAGAGGTGAGATCTGGTCTCCTGAATAAGGATAATATGGGTCCCCCTTAGTCTTTGAACCGTTGGAAACCTTGACCTGACTATTCTCTTTATTATGTCATCTTGAAGTAAGCTGACCTTTGTACATACAAACCTTATTTTTCCCCAGAGATTATGCAGTACAATCCTATACTGAAGAAAGGCTATTTCTCCTGTCAGCAGGATTTTGTCCTTGATCTTATGAAAGATAGACTCTCTAGTTACTGGGCTGAGAATCTCTTGGCTCTTCCTGCTCCTTCTTACTTGCAGCTAATGGGTATTCTTTTTGGTACATTAAAGGAGGGGAGGATGGTGCCAGCTTGGATTTGCTGGATGTGATTTAATTATTTATTCTAAGTCTCTTTCTGATAAAAGCTGGTAGATGTGAGGCTGTGGTGGGAGGGGTGAGGGGGCTGCACAGTTTATCTTTCCACACAAACAATATTGAACTCAATCCTAGATAGGTTTCTGTTCATAAGACAAGAACCCAGACTAGGTCAGATGACTTTACTTTAGGGTATATAACCTTCTCTCTCTAATTATTAGTGGACATGTGTTTCACTTCCTATTTGACTATGAATTCCTTGCAGATAGGGCTTATGTTTTTCATGTTTGAAAGCACAACATCCAGCACCTTAACTAGCCACTTGATTGGTATTCAGAAAGGTGTTTGCTGAATTGAACAGAACCAAAGCAAAATAGATTGCATAATTCAAAACAATCTTTTAAAAACTTTCGATGGGGCTATTAAATGTGTCTCAGTAGTGTGAAAATATTTTGAAAAATATATGTCAAATCCCCATTCCTTCCTAAAAGTGCTCTTTGTTGGCAGACCTGTCAGTAGGACCAAGGAGTGAGCTGTTTTAATGTTTGTCTGGAATCTTCTGAATGTCAGTTTTCTGTGACATCCTCACATGTGGCTCAGCTCTGTTTCCTTTTTTGGTTTTTGTTTTTGTTTTTATTTTATTTTATTTTTATTTTTAATATGAAGTTTATTGTCAAATTGATTTCCATACAACACTCAGTGCTCATCCCAACAGGTACCCTCCTCAGTGCCCATCACCCACCCTCCCCTCCCTCCTACCCCCCCCATCAACCCTCAGTTTATTCTCAGTTTTTAAGAGTCTTTTATGGTTTGGCTCTCTCCCTCTCTAACTTTTTTTTCCTTCCCCTCCCCCATGGTCTTCTGTTAAGTTTTTCAGGGTCCACCTAAGAGTGAAAACATATGGTATCTGTCTTTCTTTGTATGACTTATTTCACTTAGCATAACATTCTCCAGTTCCAACCATGTTGCTACACAAGGCCGTATTTCATTCTTTCTCATTGACAAGTCTGTTTCCTTTCCTAAACCTACTGAGGCAGCTGCAGTTGGAAGGTTGTTAACCTTCTGTCAGCAGGATCCTTTTGCAGAGATGAGCTTCTTAAGGGCTCTTGCTGCATTGATCAAGCAATTAATTCATTGATAGCTCAAGACATACCTAAAAGTGCAAGGTCGCTTTTTATTTTAAACATATTGATTTTTGTTCCCCTTTTTTCCCCTACTGCCAACCTTCAATATATGGATAAATATTTGTGTCTATGCTTGGTATATGTGTATCCTTTGGTACTTCTTTTTCAACTAACTTCTGGATTCAGGAAGAAAGTGACATGGTTTTGATCATAGAAATTCAGCTGTTCATATTTTTCAGCATAGGTATGGCTGTATCAAGTTATATTTTTATCTTAGTATTTGGCTTATTCTCTCCTCTTCAGATGATGTGAATTCATACTTCCTCTTATTGGTTTGCTGAAAACAAAGATAACAACCCTAATCTGTTGCCTAATCAAGAGGAAATGGATTGCTATTAACCAATAGGTTGCTGGTTATGAGGGAATAGGTGTCAACAAAGCAGCTCATGTTGGCCTGGGAAAGCCACCATGGTCTCAGTTACTGCTTCCTCTTTTTTTCCAGAAGTATAGTTATTGGTTGTCCACAGTTCATCCCTAGTAGTGCAGTGAAGAAAAGGTACTCAGAGGTGGGTGCTATGACTTGGAGGTAACATGTGAACAGACCCTCCCTAATACTTGCAAGGTTCAGGGCAGGGGTATAAATGAAGGCCCACATACCATATATCTAAATATTTAAAAGCTGGGAATCAAGCTGTGCCCACAGCCTGCCCTGTGTTTCCACCCAGGGCCCTATAGCCTCTGGTCTATGTTCATGAGACTTGAACATTCTTCCCTGGCCCAATCCCCTATAAGCCTCAAGTCTCTGGAGAAGGCAGAACAGAATCTAGGCCAGAGCTTAGGACTCTTGGGCAGTGATGGGTTAGATTGAACCCAGGATGGAGACTGATTTTAGGGACTGGGGGGGGCAGTTTCTCTTCAGCACATTACTTTTCCAGCTGAGGAATAATAGGCTGTTTGAAGGAGTAATAGGCTGTTCAAAGCACTTCCCCAAACTATACCATCTGAGCAGTAAGGATGAAGGAGAGCAGTTATCAGGGGTAGCTGGCCCTAGATGTGCACTTTGGGTGAATTTGGGGTAGCCAAATTTAAACAATAGCAGCTACTCTTTATTTGGTTTCCCAGACAAGAGGTGGTGATTTTCTCTTCCTTCTGCACACACTTTCAATCCCACACTGGTCTTGGTCGGCGGTAGGGAGAAGGGATTTTGTTTGTAGGACCTTTTTCTATAATTCCTGTTAGTGCTATAGATAACTGAAATTTAAAGAAAAATCTGTCTTATGAAATTAAAAGGAAAAAGAATTTATGATTTGGTGTTTGTGACACATAGAGCCTTCCAGTCCCTGGAGCCCAGAGCGAGGGCTCCTCTTTCCTCTGAATCTAAAGGTAGGTCTCTAGGTTCTGGCCTCTTCAGTGGCTTCATTTTAGAGTGTCTGAATACTGGAAGGATGCCCCCCTTCCCTGCCAAAGCCTCAGTCCCTTATTTATTAGTCCAAGCAAGTGAGAAAACATCTCTTTTATTATAAGTAGCCAGGCAGCATGGAGGAGGAAGAATTGGTTGTTTCTAGTGGCGACATGGCTTGGCATCTTCAGTAGGGGTTAAGAATATGTGGTTTAAGAAAACAGTTTAACCATATTCTTTGATCTTATTGAGACCTCTCTTCAAATATCTCTTTAAGTTGAAGAACAGAGCAGTTTCCCTAGTTCTACCTAGAACCTCTATCTTATCATATTTACAACTAAGATTGAGAATTTACTATGTGCCAGAGACTATACTAAGCACATTACATGCATTTAATTTTCACAGCAACCATATGAAGTGGTTAATATTTGAACAGTAAAGAAACTCAAGCACAGAGAGGTTAATTTATAAAAGATCACCCAGCTAGTAAGTGAAAGAGCTGTGATTAAATACAGGTTTCTCCCACTCCCCAGTCTTCACTGTTGATTTTTATGCATTACTGCCTTTAACAAGAGGTTTTTATATATTTATCTGCCAATGGAGTCAAGATTATTGGTCATAATTTTATTTCAGGCACCTGGCTAATACATATTTATAAAAATTATTCTTATTGTTATAATAATAAGCT